CCCGCTTCCTGCCTATTGGCCAGGAATGCGAGAGCCTCTTTAAAAGGTCCAGGGTTCCTCCGTCGAGCCAGCCACTGCCTGGAGTCAGCCAGCCTCATCAGACTTCTGCAGGCAATCGCGACGCAGCTACCCAGTCCTGCCACGGTCTCTCCAGGCGCACCGGCAGCCCCAGCGTTTTCACCGGACTCAGCGTCCTTGTCTTCACCTTTGCCACCCCTCCCGGCTACTGAGCCCCAGTGCACACAGGTAATTCTTCACAAGCCTCTGCGGAGCACCTGGCCGGCCACCTCAAAACCCCAGGCTGCAGACAATCGGAGCGACTCTCGATCTCCTACTCTTTCCCTTTTGATTTTCCTAACTGTCCCTTATCCTGCCTCATCTATCCGCTAGAAAGAACTTCCAGCCTTAGGGTTCACAAACTATACTCCAAGATACCCCAAGATTTTCTCACCTAGTAGTCCCCAGGTTATCCCTGACTTTTGCCATCCTTCTCCCCAACTACATTCTGTAATCTTGTCTAAACGAACAAAAAAAAAAAAAAAAAAACAAGTCACTTTATGCCCTTCATCTGGAACAGCAACAATCCCCTGCCTCTAGCGCTCTTTTTATACTGGATACCGTCTGGAAAGTAAATCCTTCTTTTCAGCACGTATGGAGCCAAAGAAGAACACACACACACACACACCTCTGCCCTCTCACCTTGCTTCCTGGTCTCTGACTCTGGCCTCCTGTGCTTCTTGCTACAGGTTCCCTGTTGGACACAAAGGCTCCACCATGGAGCTCGTCCGGGGACTAGGTGTCCTGTTCCTGTTACATTTGTGTGGAAGTAACCGCATTCCAGGTAAATCTGTGACATATTCATTCTCATTCTCTCTCTCTCTCTCTCTCTCTCTCTCTCTCTCTCTCTCTCTCTCTCTCTCTCCCTCCCTCCCTCCCTCCCTCCCTCTCTCCCTCCCTCTCTCCCTCCCTCCCTCCCTCCCTCCTTCCCTCGGGCAAGATAGCCCAGGTGTACCCCTCCTGTGTTCTCCCTAAGCTGTTTCCTCCGAGTCCTTAGCTCCAGGATGAACAGCTTCCCTCTAGGTGTTCATTCAGCTTTCCATAATTGCTAAGAGTTCTCACCTTGGCCCATCACAGCCAGGACTTTACACCCTTACTCCTAGCCTAGAAAGCCAATTGTCTTCTCTCGCCTTACAGAGTCTGGGGGAGACAACGGCGTGTTTGACATTTTTGAACTCATTGGAGGTGCCCGCAAGGGCCCTGGTCGCCGACTGGTGAAGGGCCAAGATTTATCTAGCCCCGCCTTCCGGATTGAGAATGCCAACTTGATCCCCGCTGTGCCAGATGACAAGTTCCAAGACCTATTGGACGCTGTGTGGGCCGACAAAGGCTTCATCTTCCTGGCTTCCTTGAGGCAGCTGAAGAAGACTCGGGGCACACTCCTGGCCGTGGAACGGAAAGACAATACTGGCCAGATCTTCAGTGTGGTCTCCAATGGCAAAGCAGGCACCCTGGACCTGAGTCTGAGCCTGCCAGGGAAGCAGCAAGTGGTATCAGTGGAGGAAGCTCTCCTGGCCACTGGCCAGTGGAAGAGCATCACACTGTTTGTTCAAGAAGACCGGGCCCAGCTCTACATCGACTGTGAGAAGATGGAGAGCGCAGAGCTGGATGTTCCCATCCAGAGCATCTTCACCAGGGATTTGGCCAGGTTTGCCAGGCTCCGCATTGCAAAGGGAGATGTCAATGACAACTTTCAGGTAAATCTTCTTACTTGTCAAAGGGCCTATGTAGAGTTAATATCTGTAGACTAAAGGATTCCCAAGTGTAGAGAGGAGCAGACTCCCCAGAGGGCTGGTTAAATCATACACGGATGCCCCAAACTCCAGGGTTTCAGATTTGGTAGGTTGCATGAGGGACCTGAGAAATTTCGTTTCTAATAAGTTGTAATGATGCCAGGACTGAGAACCATGCTTTCAAAGCTACCCAGAGAGATAAGAAATGGTTTTCCTATTACACTCAGCCTGTTCCAATATGGGGCACTAGCTGTGCCCTTAGGAAAGTAACTTGTATCAAATGTACCTACCAATTTTAATAGGCATGAAAATAATACTTTGTCGGTATTTGAGTCCCTGGGTAGGGTGTTCTGGAGGCTTTCAGTATAGACCCAATGCAAGGCATGAATAACTGTCTAGTCATGTCTCTCTTGGACTTCTTCCTTGCCTTAACTTTCAGATTTTTTTTTTTTTTACAAGAGTGGCTTTGAACGCCCACATTAACTCTTTGTCACTGGAGAGTATCATGTCCTCCAGACTTGGGATCAGATTCCATTTCCTGTGTACCCCAAGCAGCCTGATAACTGGATTCTTTGTAAAATGCCCCGAGTTGGCAGAAGACACAATTAAGATTTTGAAGTTGTTTGGCAATTTGTGCCAATGTGACATTGTGGCAGGATGATCTTAAGTTCTTCTAAACTTTCTGAGTGTTCACCACAAGCCAACTGAGCCAGGCTGCCCCACCCCCACTCCCAGCATCTACAATGTCTGTCCTCTGCCCACAGGGGGTGCTGCAGAATGTGAGGTTTGTCTTTGGAACCACCCCAGAAGACATTCTCAGGAACAAAGGCTGCTCCAGCTGTGAGTACCCCTGTGTTTTTAAGATTTGGAGAATTCTGGGGAATTCCACCAAAAGCACCCTGAGAAATGTAAGCACTAGGGTGTACACACGTCATCTCAGGGGAACAGAGTTGACACACCACTGTCATCCCAAATGGAATGTCTTTTACAATCAAGGACCTTGAAGGGTGGGCTTGTGCGATCAGCCGTTGAAGCCTTGAATCAGCTATAGAATATGTTACATCTTATTTCTTAGCAGCTACCAATGTCCTCCTCACCCTTGACAACAACGTGGTGAACGGTTCTAGCCCAGCTATCCGTACCAACTACATTGGCCACAAAACAAAGGACCTCCAAGCCATCTGTGGCCTCTCCTGTGACGAACTATCCAGCATGGTCCTGGAACTGAGGGGCCTGCGCACCATTGTGACCACACTACAGGACAGCATCCGCAAAGTGGTGAGTGGCCTCTCCTCCCATTTGCCAGCTCTGGAAGGTCACCACAGGTGGTCTCATGGGAGTCTGGACACTCATTTGCATTCTCCCCTTTCAGACCGAAGAGAACCGAGAACTAGCTAGTGAGCTGAGGCGGCCTCCCCTCTGCTTTCACAATGGAGTCCAGTACAGGAATAACGAGGAGTGGACTGTGGATAGTTGCACAGAGTGTCACTGCCAGGTAAGGGACACTCACAGATTACAGTATGACTTGGTGACATATGTCTCAGGAGATACTTAAATGACTATACACATTTTTAAATGTGCTCTGGCCTGCTACCCAAAGTGATTTTTTTTCTTTAATATGTAATGACATCTACAAATTCCTCTTTAAATCTCAGGTTTATCAAAGTCTTAATTATACCCTAGGCTAGGAAGCTAAGAGAACAAATCTATCTAAACATTGGAATAATTTACCTGCTTTAGTTCAAAGACCAAGTATTGAATGTCAAGTACATAAAACCTGCTTAGAGCATTCTTTTTTGGCCAGCCCTGATTTGTATTCAGCTCTGGCAGGCAGATTCTTCTAACACTGTTGGGATCTCTAGCTCACCAAGAAAAGGTCAAATGCAAATCACTGATTACTGAATTTGAGACACAACTTCAATTAAGTTCCCATTTTCCTCCAATATGTGATAGAGCCTTAGCTACATTTGAGATATTTACTGGTATGACCTGCAAAGTCTGTTGCTTTCCTTTATACAAATGTGTTCTTCCGAAACTTCCAACCCTGACTGAGTAGCAGTTAAAAAGAACTTTTTCAAAGTATGGAGTGAGAATTAGCCCTAGAACTATGTGACTCTAGGGACTTCACATCCAGCAGAAACATCCTTTCTATAAAATCCACCCACCTGTGTCCTGGCTGTCCTGGCTTATAATGGAAATGTCACAGAAAGCTCCTCTCTGCAATATACTTGGTAACTTATTTCCTCTCCTTTTCTTGCCTTGCAGAACTCTGTTACCATCTGCAAAAAGGTGTCCTGCCCCATCATGCCCTGTTCCAACGCCACGGTTCCTGATGGTGAATGCTGCCCACGGTGCTGGCGTAAGTTCCTAAAATGGTGTAGCCATCCCTCAGTGGCTGACTCAGTTTGGGGACATCTTGACATCTGGGCACAACACCAGAGCCCAGCCCTTCACAGCTCCATCAGACATATCCTGTAAGATTCTTGCAGACAGACTTGAGTAACTATCAGCTAGTCTATTGTACAGAGCCTAAACCTCCATGGGGACTAAATCTTTTTTTTTAAATAATTTATTTTTTCTCGAATCGTAATTCATTCACACAGGGGTTAAAAACACAGAAAGGCAGGATGTGGGGAAGGGAATGACAATGGAGTGTGGGTGTTCAGGGAGAATACAGATATCTTTCAGAACCGGGTATCAGCTGGGTGAAGGTTCAGGGGACAAGTCATTATGACTCTGCCTATGACTTGCTTGTCCTTATCTAAGTTGGTATTATCTGCCAAGGCTACCTATTTATAAGGTCTATGACTACTCAGGCTTGTAAATTTCCACAAAAGCTGCCTGTCTACGTTAGCTTTTAGCCATCTGTTTCAATGTTTTTTTCCAGAGACCCAAGACTTGGTGTTAGTATACATGTATGACAGGCCTATTGCTGATTTTAGGCCTATGGCTGATTTTAGGCCTTCAGTGTGTAAGCAGGGCTGCCCCTGACATCTCCTCCCTTCTCTAAGTATAGAAGGGCTGTGGCAATTCTAATCTTGCGAAGGTGGGGATAGAGGCCTGACCTCCAGAAGGGGACCTTGTAATGGCTCTGGTCCCCCTGTCGTTGTCCAGTGAGGCATGAGGGCCATACCTATCCCGATGTCTTTTTCCTGGAGAGGGGATACTTTTGACATCAACCCCTATGCAGTCTGGATTAAGGCATAAGCAATGGATGACCCTGGCAGAGTGTATGGATTCTGGCTTTACACTATGAGGAGAGGAGATGACTATAGCAGTAGATTTAAGTTGGTTGCTTTTAGAAATTGATCTTTTTATTAGACAAAAATTATCTACTGGAGAACAGACAGAAACTAGTATAAGCATTGGGCTGAGTCTGAAAAGCCACCTGTTTTACCTGCAGTGACATGAGGCCTAAGAGCTTAGTAGCTGTTGAATTTCCAGGGTAGTAAAAGATATCAGCCACTCTGCAGCTGTGTAACGCTCTGCCTCCGGGGCCTGCTGCCAGTATAATCACTATGCTAAGGAGATATTTTAATGCAGAAGGCACAAGTCATAAAAATGACTCATCAGGCTCACAAAGAAATCAGGGATGTTGAATTGCCCTTCGCTCACACACACAATTGTACACATGAGCCACAGCTCAGAATCATCAATCCCATGGTAGCAATTTTGACACAATAATGTTTTTTTGTGTATCCATTTCTGTCCAATCTCTAAATGAGGGTGAGAGACAGGGAACAAAGCCTGCTGGGAGCTAGCAGTATTCTGAGCTTGAGCTAGGGGCTGTTAGGAAGACGTTCATTAATGGCAAAAACAAGTTCCCTGTCCTCTGATAGACAGGAGTGATTGTCGTCATGGTGTCTGAGCACATAGCAAACAAGCACCCTCTCCTCTTGAGAAAGTGTACAAAAACACCAGAGGCCAGCATATGAGGAAAACAAACTGATCCACCTCATGACTGAGGCAGAGGCGGAGCCCCAGTCAAACTGCCTCCCAGCATGGACCAGGGCTTCACTGATAGTCAGAAATGATACAGAGCAGCTGCCTAACACACTGACATTCTTGGCCACCAGCCTGGAAACATCTAAGACATCCTAAGTCAGTAAAGGGGAACTTGCTTGAGATTGTGCGGAGAATCCATTATGGGTGAACAGGAGAATACACACTGTGAGCAGGCTCAGCTGTAAGGACCAGGCAGAGAGTGTCATCACTCCAGACCTTTACACATGATGACCTGGGATGAACTCCTGGACAACTAGCCTAAGATGTGTGCTACTTAGATCAGGGAGATCCCATGCAGGGCACGCTGGCATGTCTGGAGTTAATATTTGACTGCATGCTTAAGATTTGCTTGTGCCTGTGAAATGAGGAACATGTGAATTGACTCCACTATGATTATGACTTTCAAATACACATGTGTAGCCAAGCATCTGGTGTGTACATAAATGTACACAATCTCTCTATTAGTTAATCGTGCTTCACTTAAGTTAGGAGTATAGAAAAAGAAGCATTTTTATAAAGAAACCTATTACTTTGCAACCTCTGCCAATAAAGGGTCCTAAGCAGGACTCTCTAAAGAACAGTTTATCTTAGACATGAGGTGCTCAACGGCCTCATTTCTTCCCACAGCCAGCGACTCTGCTGACGATGGCTGGTCTCCCTGGTCTGAATGGACTTCGTGCTCTGCCACATGTGGCAATGGGATTCAGCAGCGTGGCCGCTCCTGTGACAGCCTCAATAACAGATGTGAGGGCTCTTCGGTACAGACGAGGACCTGCCACATTCAGGAGTGCGACAAAAGATGTAAGCATCATGGCCACCAAGGGTTGGCAATCTCACCCCAATGCTTTCCTCACCAAAAGCAGCTCTGTAGCAGGGAGCCTGAGGGCTCAGGTTCTGAGCTTGGTCTCTCAGTCTCAATCACACCTCTAACCTCTAACCTCTAACCTCTAACCTCTAACCTCTAACCTCTAACCTCTAACCTCTGCACTCTTGAGCATGACCTTCCTTCCCTGGAGCTCTTACTCATCAATAACAAGAGAATAATAACCATTCTTGATAAAGTTATTTTAGGCATTTTCTCTAGATAATTCACATGAAACAGAATAGAGCTGGGCTCCTGACCAGCAACCTATAAATATTAGGTTGTTGACAGCAACTCACATACACACTCACACAAATACCATCTTTCCTATAGTTTCTCCATTGCCATGCGGCAGCAGCCAGTTTCTACCACACACTAGTTTAAGTTGCTGTTGGTCAGCTGCTAGAATTATTGCGTGTTGAGACTTGCTTTGTGGCCCCCTCCAATGCAGCACCATGTGTGACCATCAGCTTTGCCCTTCAGTTAAACAGGACGGTGGCTGGAGTCACTGGTCCCCGTGGTCATCCTGTTCTGTGACCTGTGGTGACGGTGTGATCACAAGGATCCGGCTCTGCAACTCCCCCAGCCCCCAGATGAACGGGAAGCCCTGTGAAGGTGAAGCTCGGGAGACCAAAGCCTGCAAGAAAGACGCCTGCCCAAGTAAGTGTGGGCCTGACCCAGGGATGCATGGGAGGCAGCTCTCCCCAGCTAGTCGCCGGCTCTCTGCGGTTCAGTGGACCATGGGGCATGGGAGCTCACTCACTAGAGAAACAAACAGAAACAAACAGAGTCCTGCGTGCTCAGCAGCTTCTTTTAATGAAAAGCAGAAAGCAAACCATTTCAGCCTCCCTGATTCCCAAATATTCTTCTCATGGGCCAGGTTAGAAGGCATTAGTAACAGGTTCAGGACAGGCTTCTGGGACTGATACGGCACCTGAAAACTGAATTTTTACACATGACTCATTTCCTTACAGTCAATGGAGGCTGGGGTCCCTGGTCACCATGGGACATCTGCTCTGTCACCTGTGGAGGAGGAGTGCAGAGACGTAGCCGACTCTGTAACAACCCCACACCCCAGTTTGGAGGCAAAGACTGTGTTGGTGATGTGACAGAAAATCAAGTTTGCAACAAGCAAGAATGTCCGATTGGTAAGCTGCGAAGCCAGGGACACCACCACCCTGGGAGCTTTCTCCTTTATGAATGTCATAGTCTGTATTCACTGGGTGTGGGGAGGGTGGGGGTGCCATGTTTGATTGGCCCTTGTGGTCTGATTACTGTAAGATCCCGGGCAACCATTACCAGTAACAGAGACCCTACAATGTCTTATTCTGTTTTAAGTAGTACATATCAGTAACAGCAACTTAGACCTAAGCACTTACCCGTCTCTTACCTCACCTCAGATGGATGCCTGTCCAATCCCTGCTTTGCTGGTGCCAAGTGCACTAGCTATCCTGATGGTAGCTGGAAATGTGGTGCATGTCCTCCTGGCTACAGTGGAAATGGCATCCAGTGCAAAGACGTCGATGAGGTAAACAACCAATGGCTCTAAGTCATCAGAATGAAGAAAGCAGCTAACCTGGCCCAGGGCCCTTCCTTAACATTTGCCAAGTGTTAAGCAAACTCTCATTTCCTCCGTAGTGCAAAGAAGTGCCTGATGCTTGCTTCAATCACAACGGAGAACATCGGTGCAAGAACACAGATCCTGGCTACAACTGCCTGCCCTGCCCACCACGATTCACCGGCTCACAGCCCTTCGGCCGAGGTGTCGAACACGCCATGGCCAACAAACAGGTATAGTAAACAAGTAGGCCAGAGTAGAAGAGGGCTGTCTTTGGTCAAACAATGAACAGACAGGGAGTGTCTGTGTATTTAGTGCATAGTCTCAGATGTATGAAAATTCTGTGCTCAGAGAAGCTGTGATCAGATAGGCTTGTACACGATGAGCAGCTCCGAGGAAATCCAGTGTAAATCAGCGTTTGCCAGTAGCCTGGATATCCTCAAAGAGAACGGAGAAGAACAGAAGAATCCCACCGTTCTCCCAAATGGGGCTGCTGTTTCAGAATGGGAGGGATCTGGACTCTTGTGGCTTGGGACTTTTAGACATCCTGTGATAGCATTGGGATGTTGTACCCTCAGGTGTGCAAACCCCGAAACCCCTGCACGGATGGGACGCACGATTGCAACAAGAACGCCAAGTGCAACTACCTGGGTCACTACAGCGACCCCATGTACCGCTGCGAGTGCAAGCCTGGCTACGCAGGCAATGGCATCATCTGTGGAGAGGACACAGACCTCGACGGCTGGCCTAATGAAAACCTGGTGTGTGTGGCCAACGCAACTTACCACTGCAAAAAGGTATGGCCAGCTTCCCTCGTGGGCTTCCCTCTCATGAATGGGCCAAGGAATTCTGAATGTTGGAAAACTGAAAATGAAACAAGAGTTGAGCCTCCCAAAGGCAGAAGGATACAGATGCTCATTAACATGGAGTCATTCTGTGCGGAGATCAGGCTCTTTGGGCGTTTGTAGCCCAGAAAGACTGCTATACAGATACATTTCAGAGCAGGATTTGTGGTTGTGGCATATATGAAGCCTAGAACATTTGTACAAACTGCACATAAATAACCTTCCAAAATACCTTCTGTGGCTTCACCTTCCCATTAAAAACATGGCTGCACCTGAGCATCCTAGTAGGCTATCCCAGTGTGGCCCCTCAGTGTGTGCCAAACAAGCGAATGCTAACTGTGTCACCTTCTTCTTAGGACAACTGCCCTAACCTTCCCAACTCAGGCCAGGAAGATTATGACAAGGATGGGATTGGCGATGCCTGTGATGACGATGATGACAATGACAAGATCCCCGATGACAGGGTAGGGATAAAATGCTCTCCGTTCCTCCTTCATCCTTGTGGTGTGATGACAACCTGAAACACTAGAATTCAAGGGATCACAGAATGATAGCAAACACACAGACCAAACTCATATAGAGGATTAGAAACTTGCCACGATCTCTCAGTGATTGGAGGACACAGATGTTGCTAGAACTATTAAAGAGAGTTTCCTTTTTCATCACAGACTACCCCAGTTTGAACACATGGCATTCTGTTCCCCAGATTCAATTCAGATATAATGTCTAAATGAGTATATTTTTTATAATGGAAGGGGAGATGACATAATTTGATACTGTATCTCTCTTCATTGTAACCGAAAAAGAATTCAGTCTTCAGCCATAGTGTCTTCCTGTCTGGGAATTTCACGTATGCTGAATACTCAATTAGTATTAGGACTAAGTACAAGATAACTGCAGTAGATCTTTAAGGGTTTTTAATACTGTATATGGGGTTGAAGGCATCAGCTGATTTCCTAGGCACCACCATAGAGTGTCCATTTTTCCTCTTTGCAGGACAACTGTCCATTCCATTACAACCCAGCCCAGTATGACTATGACAGAGATGATGTGGGAGACCGCTGTGACAATTGCCCCTACAACCACAACCCTGACCAAGCAGACACAGACAACAATGGAGAGGGAGATGCCTGCGCTGTGGACATCGATGGAGATGGTAAGGCCCCTGGCCTGTCAGCCTGAAGGGACAGTGACACACACAGCTTACTGAGCGGCTGTTAGTGTGTGACTTAGTTAAAATATGTAGGGCTGCTGGACTCATGTACACTTCCTCCATAGGGATCCTCAATGAACGAGACAACTGCCAGTACGTTTACAACGTGGACCAGAGGGACACAGACATGGATGGGGTTGGAGATCAGTGTGACAACTGCCCCCTGGAACACAATCCAGACCAGGTAGGTGAACTCCTTTCAGAATCTCTTGGTGAGGTACTGTGTCTCCCTTTCTAAGCCTTTAAAATAGTGAATTCAATAGACTCCAAATCCTCCTGTTACTGGGGTTCCCCAAAGCCATTTGCAATGTGTGCCTGTGCAGAGTCTGCCTGATATAAGCTTCTGGCAGATACTCTCAGAGATTGTTGTGGAAATCTTGGAACCTCAGTCTTGATTGCAACCACCATTAAGACAAATTACACAACACAGAGAGCGAGCTGAGACTGATAGTTCTACAGTTGTATCCAGTGTATGTGAACCTGAGAGGAGAGCAGTGTGCAGAAGCAAAACAAACACATGAGTGATGGCTAGGAACAGTCTAATAAACAGTTAGGAATCTAAACTACGTCTCAGAGCTGGAGAGAAGTCTGGTTTCTCCCATTCCCCCACTGAACCCAGCTTCATTCTCCTCCCAACCCGAGCTGCAAACAGGTATCAATACACAGACTTCTAGTACCAGAGAGCTTCTGTCAGAGTCACTGTGCATCATGGTTTTCTAGGAATAAAGTAAATTGATTTTTCTTTTTCCTAAAATGATGGTTCTAAAAGGTTCAGTGCTCAGAAATTTAAATAGATTGTTTTTCTAAGGATTAGATAAATGAGAATTCAAGTCACTCCTAATGCTTACCCTTATGAAGTAGGATCATGCTAAAAGCAAGGTGACTTCAAGCCACCATCACAGGAAGCCATAAGTGGTCTGTATTAGCTGCAGGTCACACAGGACTGAGAGTTCCTGCTATGGATTTGGGTCTACCAGACATTAGATATCTTCAGTAGCATTTAACCTCACAGAATGAGTTTGGATTCCTCAGTTTAGAATAACTTTTATAAGCAAATTTAAATATCATACAAAATCTCAAAAGCAAAGAACATAAAACCTGAAAAGAAAACATCCAGTTTTTATATAAACCATCCCAAAGCACCTCACACGTATTGAATGCTAGTCCTCTGGGAAAATCTATTGTAAAAAAAAATTCTAGAGTTTGACTTTATCTGAGCCAAAAGATAAAATCTTTATGGGATAGATATAGAAAGCCAAATGCTTTTAAAATTAAAGAAAAAAGTCATTACTGTCTCACCCACGTGATGCAGCCAGTCTGTACAGACCACTGCCAGGCTTTAGGGCCTGGAGTACAAGTTGACCTTTATTTGACTCACCCACTGCTGATGCCTCTCTTCCAGCTGGACTCTGATTCAGACCGCATAGGAGATACCTGTGACAACAACCAGGACATCGATGAAGATGGCCATCAGAACAATCTGGACAACTGTCCCTATGTGCCTAATGCCAACCAGGCTGACCATGATAAAGATGGCAAAGGCGATGCCTGTGACCATGACGATGACAACGATGGAGTCCCTGATGACAAAGACAACTGCAGGCTGGTGCCCAATCCTGACCAGAAGGACTCGGATGGTGAGTCACTGTCGCCACTACTCGCTAACATAACTGACACCGTGGCTGTCTAGAGGGAAGGAATAAAAACAGGGCATCCAAGAGAATGGAGTAAAAAACACCAATTTTTGACAAGATGGAGAATTAGTGACCCACTCATAATAGCAGTTCAGAATTTCACTGAACTCTTGCCTTCTTTGACCTTAGGTGATGGCCGAGGTGATGCCTGCAAAGATGACTTTGACCATGACAATGTGCCAGACATTGATGACATCTGTCCTGAGAATGTTGACATCAGTGAAACCGATTTCCGCCGATTCCAGATGATTCCTCTAGATCCCAAAGGAACCTCCCAAAATGACCCTAACTGGGTTGTACGCCATCAGGGCAAAGAACTTGTCCAGACTGTAAACTGTGACCCTGGACTTGCTGTAGGTGAGAAGCAAGCTCCTTAGATCCAGGAGGGAACACACTGAAAGGGAGCAAATATAAAATCTGACCTGTGGCCTTCGGTCACTCCGGATATCTAGGGACATTTTAGAGAACACTGTAAAAGCCACAGTCTTTAATCTGACCCTGGCCTTTCTTTCCAGGTTATGATGAGTTTAATGCCGTGGACTTCAGCGGTACCTTCTTCATCAACACTGAGAGGGATGATGACTACGCTGGCTTTGTTTTTGGCTACCAGTCCAGCAGCCGCTTCTACGTTGTGATGTGGAAACAAGTCACCCAGTCCTACTGGGACACCAACCCCACAAGGGCTCAGGGATACTCAGGCCTGTCTGTAAAGGTTGTGAACTCCACCACTGGACCTGGCGAGCACCTGCGGAATGCACTGTGGCACACAGGAAACACCCCTGGCCAGGTAAGAAGCCTCATCATCTAGAAGGGAGAGTTGATAGGCCCTTGGGGAGCACAGGAGACAGCGCTTGGCTTGGCCAAGTTTCCACTAAGGAATCTTAGCTGTCAAGTTCGCAGCATCCCCAACCACGGTATAAAACCATAGTGGTGTGCTAGAGGGGAGTGGGCTCTGATCAAGAGCTGCCCTTTAAGTACACCGGCAGCTTCAGCCACTTCAAACAAAGCCCTCCTTTCCTTTCCCTCTCTCTGTTTTATATGCAGTGAGAGATGTCTTGGGGGAAACTCTGCACTGGCCCTCTGCAAATATAGCTCAACTCTAAATATAGGAGCCTTTTCAGCAGTTCCTCATGGAATGAAATATAAATCTTCAGAGGGAGCTGTGTTTCAACCTTTTCTGCTCCTTTTCCTTCAGGTGCGCACCCTGTGGCATGACCCTCGTCACATAGGTTGGAAAGATTTCACTGCGTACAGATGGCGTCTCAGCCACAGGCCAAAGACCGGTTTTATCAGGTAAGGCTGAAGGAATTAAATTTCACTATAGTCACATCAAATAGGCTCAGAGGATAAGACCAAGAAGTGGCAGTCTCATGAGTGAGATTTTTTTTTCTTCTGTGCAGAGTGGTGATGTATGAAGGAAAGAAAATCATGGCTGACTCAGGACCCATCTATGACAAAACCTATGCTGGCGGTAGACTAGGCCTGTTCGTCTTCTCTCAAGAAATGGTGTTCTTCTCAGACATGAAATACGAGTGTCGAGGTAGGAGCGACATTGTGGTGTATAGTTAACATGTCTACAGAATTATAAGGTTGACAATGATGGGAGGATCTGATTTAAAAACTCTGTTGGGGAGAAGGTTCTGTTTTTTGTTTTCTGTTTTTCTTTTGAGGATACAATGCTAGACAAGAAATAATGTCTATACAATCCTGAATGCGTATCAGGCCTATTAGCTTGCCCAGCAGTCTGTTCCTACATGAGTCAGAGGCAGACAGTAACCAAGTAGCTATAAACAGTAGCCCTCATTGGTAATACCTTGAAGCTCTATGCATTTATGTCTCTCACGTTGGCAGTGGTTTTATTCATGCCATCATAACACCAGCTGTCCTCCTCAAGATCAAGAGCAGCAAGAGTATTCATTCTCACCAATAGCCTTAGCTTTCTGGCCTCCATTTTCTTCATGTAATGACTTAAACTCTTGAGATTGGACCTACTGCAGAATAAGTGCTTTGTACATATTTACTGAGTCAGATGTCTGCAAGCTCATAGGCATTGGGTATTAAGATCAGAGATATCAAGAGTAAAGTCTGGCCAACATGGCTGCCTAACCATGACCTGAGGAAGACTTGCTAGTGTGGCTGGGGGGAGGGGAGACAACAAGGACTCATGTTTTGTCCCTGTCAAAGACAGTAAGCCCTGAGTTGCTAGTCTGATGGTTACTAGTAGGATATTCATGTGCTTGCTGCTAGTCTGATGGTTACTAGTAGGATGTTCATGCGCTTGCTGCTAGTCTGATGGTTACTAGTAGGATGTTCATGTGCTTGCTGATTCGTAGGATGTTCACGTGCTTGCTGATTCGTTTTCATTTATGTGCATCTTTGATTATTTAACAGATTCCTAATCGTCAGCTGCCGATCACAACCAGCGCTGGCATTGCACCTTCTGCAACCAAGGGCTAGAGAAAACCCCTGCCAGGATTGCTTCTCTTCGCCTTCCTTGCCTCTGTTCTTGCATAGTGTGGACTTCTAGAGCTATGACCTGCCTCAAGAAAATGCAGTTTTCAAACCCAGACTCAGCACTCGGCCTTCAACGAATGAGAATGCATCTTCCAAGAACATGAAGAAGTACTTTGGTTTGCTTTTGGGAAAGCAAAAAGCAACAATTTACTTCCCATTGGGAAGGTGCCCACTCCACTCTGCCTTACTCACAGAGCCAGAACTTCGGCGAGGCCATCTCTGAACAGCATACACAGAAGCATTTTCAGGCATGTCAAAGAAAAAAAAATGACTCACTAGAACTCACGGCCAAACCACCTCTGACATAGGTCCTCAGGTGTGGGGAGGCAGGAGCCAAAGCGCTAGGGAGAGCATATACCCAAGAGATGATTGTAGGACGAAAATATGGAGGAGCTGTTACTTGTTCGGTACTAAATCATTTTCAGGGGACAGAAAGACTTGTTGCATTTCCTCCCGCTGCCCGTGAGAGCTGATTGACCCAGTCTTCCACACGGGCACTTGAGGAAGCAGGGAAGGGAGGGAAGTCCTGGTTTTTGGACTTCCTCCCCTTGGGTGCTTCTCACCTGCAGTGGCCAGAGTAGGGGTCAGAAGTGTGGGCCGTGCTGGCTGCCCTTGGCTGGTCACGCTGAAACTGTTGGTTTATTCTGCATGTACAACATGCGTATGTATTGGGAGAGCAAGAGAACCCTACCATCTCAGTGAGCTCTAGCTGCCTCTGCAGGAGGGGCAGTTCGCCTTTACTTTACGGTTAGAAAGGCACAAAATTTCTATCAACCTAACTAAAACATTCCTTTTCTTTCTTTCTTTCTCCCTTCCCCCCCCCAATTACCATGGAGTTTTCCAATTCTCTTCTGGTTTTTGTTTAACAAACGCTTTAACAATGTAATATATTTATTTTTTTCCCTATTCTGGAGGATTCGTCTGAAGGATTGTTACTGAAACAGGAAGCGTGGGACTATCTCAATCATCTTCATAGTGAGTCTTTATGACTGTAAGATTGTAAATACAGATTATTTATTAACCCTGTTCTACCTGGAATTAGACTGCATATAGCAAATGTTTGCAAGCAGGTAGCTGAGGTGGACCAGCAAATCTCTCCAAAACCAGTGTGTGGAAAGCCAGCAGAAGCTGCTGCTTTTCACTTTGGGGCTTAGAGTGAATGATTTGGACTCCTTTGGCTTCTCCCCTTTGTTTTCTCTGTCTCTTCAAGTGGAATTAGGAGGCTGCCCATTTGCATTTGCATCTCCTTGTAAAGGAAGCCATGAGCACTCTAAGGCTAGCCCACACCACCCCTTGTGCCTATTTCCAGGAAGAAGAAAATACAATCACCTTTTTTTTTTTCATTTTCCCAAAAGAGACAAAGGTGGAACTTATATACAAATATTACCTCATTTGTTGTGTGACTGAGTAAAGAATTTTGGATCAAGAAAGAGTTTAAGTGTCAATAAACTTAAAACTACTGTTGTGTCTAAAAAGTTGGTGTTGTACATAGCGTAAAAATCCTTTGCAGAGGATGATCCCAATAAAGAAATAGCTTTGAAATGTTAAGTACAACTTCTCAAAGTTCTGGTTTTGTTCTATCATCTTGTACACCATTGCTTTTATTTTTATAAATTATTTTCTCATTGCCATCAGAATAGAGATCTCAGACTATGTAGATACGCTATTTAAATAATTTATCGGGAAATACTGCCTGTAGAGTTAGTATTTCTGTTTTTTATATGTTGCACACTGAATTGAAGAAATGTTGGTTTTTCTTGTTTTGTTTTAGTTTGTTTCTTTGCTTTCGTTTTTGTTTTTGCTTTCTACTTCCCAGTTTTGACTATTTGCCAATACCCTTTTTCCTAGGAACGTGCTTTTTTTTGTACACATTTTTATCCATTTTACATTCTAAAGCAGTGTAACTTGTATATTACTGTTTCTTATGTACAAGGAACAACAATAAATCATATGGAAGTTTATATTTATATTTACTGTGTCTGTGTTTGCTTTGTACTTTACTGGCTGGCTGTCTATCATGGGGTCTGGGCAAAAGCCATTCCTAACCAATAACACATAAACAGCATGGCAGGAAATAACATTCACGATTTCTGTATGACTGACAGGCACTAAATTCAGATGATATATTTACTACATTTTTGGAATAAAAAAAAAAACCAACAACCCCAAGTCTGCCATATGACAAACAAAATAAAAATGACCCTGGTGTCATCAGTACCCCACCCCACCAAAGAAAAGATTTCATCATTTTATTAATATAAGGTGTCTTGTGTTGACTCCTCAAAGTCCAGCTCTGTTTCTGAATGGAACAGCAGTGACTAAGGCGAGGACAGTTGTGAAACCATGTGACATTTTCTGATCCTGAGTGATGGATCCCAGGACAGAGGTTGGCAGAGAAGCACAAGGGAGGAGCTGTCCTGGGACTCTAGAGAATACATACTCTGGGTCAAAAACAGATAACTAAAGAAATGCAAAGTTGGAGTTAGATGGCTCAGCAGTTCAGAAGCTTAAAGCACCAACTGCTCTTGCAAAGACCCTAATCACAGTATTCCATGGGGGCAATTCACCATCTCCAGTAACACTGCTTCCAGGGGATCTGGTGTCCTCTTCTGTAGGCACCTGTGCTCACACACACACACACACACACACCACTTTGTTACAGAAATGTAAATCTTGGAAGGACTGTTTGTGAGTGTGAAATTATTCTGTGAAGAGAACAATATCTCTCCTGTTCTAATAAGTGGAATTTGAATAATCTTGGATGGATTAACCATGAATATGAAGATACAACTGATTTCTAGTTCCAGTAAACAGTTCAATAAAGAAATTCTGCTAGGTAAAGTATTTGGCTTTGAGGGCTGTGTGAGGTTAAATCTGTCTCACTGGCTGACCTTCCTGCTTCTCTAAAACCACCAACCTGGCTGACATGCTGGACAGCAGGAGTGAAGTGTCCCCGTCGCCCTGCAGACCCACAGTGAAACAGTAAAAACTTCCGTGTGCTAAGGAAATGATCTGAAAGCAAAAATTATCTGCAAAGTGGCGCCCATTTTTCTCAGATTGTTCCCTATGTGAATTCCTGGAGGAGAATTCTATTTAATTTTTAGCAAAGCATTTCACCAAAACTGATGGAGAGTGGCAAGATGCAACGGAAGAAAAAAGTTGCCAGATCAGAGGTTTTAGCCCAGGATAGCCATATCAGAGCTCTTAGCCTAGGCTTGCTCCATTTCACTGTGAGAATGACCTTCAAGTCAGTAGGTTGTTTAAAACTAGAATGACATCATCGAGATGACAGATTTCACTCACACAGGAGTTTATTGTCATGTATTCCAGGGCCGTTTGGCTGAAAAGTCATAAAGTGGTTCCTGGAGAATTTACAACTAAGGTGGTGCTGGTCGGTTACTAAAGAGCCCATCAAAAATCTATACTCCAGCCTCTCCAGTTTCCTTTCTAAAGTATATTAGCTTGTTCTCGTTCTCTCTCTCTCTCTCTCTCTCTCTCTCTCTCTCTCTCTCTCTCTCT